ATATTGCGTAATGTTATATTTTTATTTTACTCAAAAATAAGAGATAAACTAGCTAAAACATGCAATAAAATATTTTCAGAAGTTTTAATGAATTATTTCTCTATGAAATAAGACAATTAATTACTTTTAAAAAAAGTTCCTTAGCATTAAAAGAAAACAAATACACTTTCTACAGTTAAAACGTATTGAAAATTAAGCTAATTCATTACATAAGATCAAAATATTGTTTTGAAAACTTAGTTTATGAATTACTTCACAGAAAAAATAAAGAATTTTTACCACTAATTAATTTTTAGATAATAGAAATGAGGCGTTAGATGATGAAACTATGTTTGTTCACACAATAAGAACATAGAAAATTAATTATCCGATTAAAATTAAAGATTTATTTGTTAATTATTATATTAACATTTTTATTTGTATGTGTTTATTTATTTGTATTTCTTATATCATATCCTTATTCAATGATTCTTTTTTTGATTGCAGTAAAAAAAATTCTATTTAAGGAAAAATAGATTGTCTTTAATGTATAAGGATACATTTCACCTTTAATACTGATTTCACACAATCATTATTGGTTGTTATTCATATCAACACTGACTTAATATCTAGCTACAATTATGTAGATACTCATTTGTGCCTAACAGAGTTTGAAAATAACTTTAGCTGGAGAACACTGAATAGCAGAAGAAAACATTTCTATAACTAGAAAGATCAATACACAAATCTAGAACAGATACTATAATCCTAGTCAAGAAGTTAACAATATATTATCTATTATCAAAAATAATCATGCAAGTGTAAGCATCTGCATAGACAGAATAAATTATTTTGTAGCATATATACAAGAAACATATATGAAGTTGTAAAGTATTTGTGAGATGCCAAGTGTAACAATCACAGAAAGCAATTTAAAGTTTAAATTTTGCTGAAGTACATTTCATAAGGCAGAAGTATTCTGTTAGAAATACAATGTACAAATTTTGTTATGCTCTGATGTCAATAAATTTTTCCTTTTTGAATTTTATTCTTCGAATTTGTTACATTTGGCTTATCCTTTTCCTTGAATTGAAAGAGTTCTGAACTTTCAAGAAGTTGGAAATACAACCCAGAAATCTTTTTGATTACACAATGCACATGCTCACACTGAGATCAAAGCACACATGACACCCAAGCTACAGACAGACAGCTACACATGTGTAGAAGTGCTTATACTAGCTTTGCGTGCTGGCTGTCGGCGTGGGTGGCGATGATACATACGAGTCAGGGGTGGAACTGCTCCGTGTGCGCAATTCCACCTCTGCAAGCCGCGATGCGTACATTTCTAGGCGCGAGTGCATGTCCTGGCTGAGAGTTGAGTGCTGGGGAGAGGGTGCGGGTGACTCCAGGGCATCTCCCTCAAGCACTGTCTGCACAGGGAGGTAGCCCACCCTTGGATGTTTCTTGAAATAACGCTTTGACTTAAATTTGTTGCGCAGTGCTCTAGTGAAGTCTCGAACATCTTCTCCAGATGTTGTCTGTAAAGATAATAGAGGTAAGAAATTTCTCTTTGAAAATAAAATGTCCATTATAGAATGATTTTCAGGTTGAACTACGACATAGAGAAAACAAACTTACAGCTGTGCAATATTCTTGCATAGGATGCGTGAGTTTATGATTTTTAGCCTTGCGCCCAGAAAAGAAGCAATTCTGACACATATCAAAGTTGAAACACTTCAAACAACGGTACCTAGGAATTAAAATAATAATGGTTTTGAGAGATTTTGTTGTTGTTAATTCAAATACTATTTACACAAAACCAGAACAACTTTTTGAAACTAAATAAAGCAAGATCACATATTCACCTGAATCCTACAATAGGATATTCTTTGCAAATATTGCATTTCGCTTGGTGTTTAGCATTTTCTGCTGCAGATAATCTATGAAGAACAGGCAACCAAACCATGCTTTGTGGTTCCTGCTGAAGCCAATTCAAGAAATGGATGGCCTGCAAACATTTCAGAGCAATAAGCAACGGCAAAAATGAATATTACATTAAACATGAAGCAGAGAGCAGATTACGGCTAAAAATAACATTTAAATGTCCATAGAATTTTTTAAACATTCATTATTTATAATCAGCTTACAACAGAATATAAATATTTGCTGCATTTCATGGATAGTTCAAAATTTCCCTATTAAGTAATTTTGATACATTGATTAGTTTCATTGATCTAATTAACTGCAATTTCTATCTTCAATTAGCTAGCAGAATTCCTGGGTATTTAACAGAACCATAGACACTTCTCACATGGCCAGAAGCTGAATAGTTTTCTTTCAATTTCTGCACGTAGACGAAAAAAGCAACGTAGATGTTTTTATATTTTTCTCCAAGTCCCAGGGTATTTAAAAAACCATACACCCCTCTCACATGCCGGAGGGTACATAGTTTTCTTTCAATTTCTGTGCACATCGAAATTAGTAATATAGATGTTCTTGTATTTACCAGAGTTCCTGGGCGTCTAACAAAACCACATACATCTCCTAGTCGAGAGACTGCAGTGTTTTCGTTCTGTTTCAGTGTGAATTGAAAATTAGTAATAAAGATGTATTTGTATTTTCCTGAGTTCCTGAGTATTAATGAAACCATAGACATATCTCAAAAGGCTGCAGAACACATTCTTTTCTTTCGATTTGTGCTTGTATACTAAAAGAAACCCCACATGGTAACAATGAATGTACTCCATAGTTTTAAACAGCTTTGTTTTTTGAGCTAGTTTAAATGCATATAATCAAATTTATATAAAAGCTATAGAAACAGTAGGATGTTGACATTAGAAATGTGTATCGGATATTAGCAATGTGAGATTTATTCATTTTGGACTAGAAAGAAAGAAAAAAGAAAAGAGGAAAACTACAACAACTTCATTTTACTTATTAAATTTACCTCAATGGAGTTCTTATCCTTGCCTGCTTTTTCAAAGCATGAACGCACTGAAGGTTCAATGTTTGAACCACCAAATGCTGCAACCTCACCCAGCTGACGTGGCACTTGAATGCAATCGTGCAATAAAAGACCCAACTTACGTTGATCAACCAGTCTACTGGGATCGGCAATTAAACGAAATAAATCTAAAAGACAAATCAAACATAATAAATCTTTGTAAAATGGTAATATACAAAACATTTCTTTATCTTTTATATCATTAATAACTTTGATCAGTTATTGGAATTGTCTGGATAGATTGGATTTTATAAAATCATAAATTGTCACACAAAGTTTTCTGTTTATAAAAATTGACAAATCCAGGAATAAACTAGATTAAACATTTTGGAATGAAATTATAGCCTCTATAATTTCAAATTCATCAAGTGAAGAAATGTTCTATGGTGAAATTTACACAAAAATGTCTCTTCAAAAACTTCCAATTTCTTATAAATATTTATATTGAATAGGTGAAATTCAAGTAGAAATTAAATCAGAATGAAAAGTGAGTATTCTTTTAAAAAGTGGCCACTACAATCAACTTCACTTTATATAACGACTGAAAATTACTTACAGCGATATTTTTCTTCCAAATGGCCCTTACATAAAACAACAAGTCCAACTTTAAAGGACAAAACACGAATTTGCCCAGTGCGCTGACTGCAACAAGAAAAAAGCACTCAGTTATATTTATATTTATATATAGAAAACTATCAAATGAAAGTACAACTTTTAATAAACAACTGAAAATGTTTACAATATTTACGACAGATCATTTCCATAATTTCTTAAACTAACAACACAAGCAAAATGTAATTATGCAAAACCTGTATTTTTGCTGAATAGAACTACGGGTTCAAAACAATGCTCCTGTGTTTGAGAGTTGTGGAAAAAATATCAATTCCTTGAAGTGAATCAGGTTTCTTCTTGTATAAATGTATGAGATAACACTTGAGAGAATTTGAATTAATTATATATTTTATTAAGAGGAACTGTATTATTGGGGTTTTCCTTTCACTGAAGATTTCTTTGCATTTACAGTAATTTGTGTGGTGGAGTAAAAATGATGGAAGTATATGAATAAGAAAATACTCTATCTTTTTTCACACAGTTTTTACTTGAAGTTATTAATAAGTAAAGCATATTACAAATGTAAAATATAATTGAACTAGCTTTAAATCTTGATAAAGGATGATGAAACATAATGAGTGAAGCATAAACATACCTGTCATACACATTAAGTAGCCAATTTACAGCTAAATCTACACAAAGTGGTATATTGGTAACAAGACCAGGATTGTCATTGGCCAATAGTTCATACAGGGAATTTAGAACAGCCACCATATCGGGTACATCAATAAGTCTATCATTTTGTGCTCGCAAACCATGTGAATCAAACTGCTCTATTGCTGATGATAATCCCAAAAGATCAACTGAAACAAAGGATTTCATTATGAAAAAAAGAAAAAAGAAATACATGATGCCTTAAAATATCTGAGAAATGTTATTTACACTTCATTAATAAATTAATTAATGATAATTAATAACAATATTTATTACATTATTATTATTATTATTATTATTATTATTATTATTATTATTATTATTATTATTATTATATAATTGTTATTATCACTTGAAGTAAAGCTGTTTACTCACAGCAAAGCCTTTTCTGAACAGTTCGCAACTTCATTGCTGTGCGATAAGCAGAAAATCGAACTTCGTTGAGCTGCGCTAACGTTCCCATCAGCTCCACCATTTTTGGATGGTCCCAGTGGGTGGTTTCCAACTGATGGCTAGATGACAAAAATACATAATAAATAATGTTATCAGACACATGACGTTTAATAAAATTTAAGAGAAACTAAAGGAAGTGAACTATGATTAACTCATAACAACTATTGTGTGAGAGGCCAACATTGTACCAATGTGAATACAATTTTATGTCTAATAATAAGGATAACAAGTTTGATTCCAATTTAAACAGCTTACTTGATGTAGTAAGGCACTTTGTTGGGCGTGAGTGCACGCTCCCAGGGAGGTTCTACAGACGCAGCAAGGAAAGCTTGAGTGGGTGGTGCTCCAGCCTGACCAAAATCTCTTAGTTGCTTGTAGCGATCATCTACTGCCAGTTGTAGCAGCTTCCATCTACAAAAATATCCATACAAACCACTCCAGTTGTATCATGGACTCACATTTATAACACACATTCATAGATCAATCAACATACTATAAAAAAGCCTAGCTTCTTCAAACATAAAACAAAATGTAAGTACTGAAGCTGGAAATAAATGTTCGGTAATGATCATGCAAACCTAAAATTTGACATTGAAAATAATTAAACTAAAAAGTAGGTATGCATTTCAATTACAGAGTTTTTAAGGAAGTAAGTACCTGGTATTGAGGTCTTCCAGTCGATTCAGGGTCAAATGAGAAACAAGCACATTGCTGGATGTGAATAGAGCAGCCTGATCATTTACATCCTCAACTGTTCGCTGGATTGGCCCCAGACGTTCCCCAAATTTCTAGAATGGTGGAAAAAATAGAATGTCTAATCATGTTTTTGCCTAATCATGTTTACAAGCCAAGGTAAGATTAATGATCATTATGTTACTTAGGTAGTTAATACAATGTTGCAGCATGAAGATGAATTTTCAAAAAGCAAAACTGAAAAAAAGGAAGGCAGAGAGTGAAGAAATAAAAGAAAGGAAGATAAAATGGAAAAAGAGGGAGAAAGATGATGTTCATGAGGTACGAAAATATAATTTGTTTGCGTCAACATGCAGGAATGCCCACGGGTCTGTGTTTTCACGTGAGACGGTGTGGCGAATGGGTGGAGCCCTTGTAGTTGCATTGCGACGCGCCTCACCTGCAGCTGCTCCAGCATCTCGCCCACCTCGGAGGCGTCTGCAGGGCTCTGCCACGCGGCGCGCAGCGCCTCGGCCGCAGCCAGCCGGCTCGCCAGGTCCTCCAAGTTCTTCTGGAACACCCGCATCTTCTGCGGGGCGCCAAAGCAACGGCCTTAGTGTCCTCCATCGCACAACGCGAACGCCAAAAGCACACACTGATTATTCGCCAGTCTTAGGCCTGTACTTCGTCAGAACGAGATCTGGTATGAAGGAAAATGAGAATACGTGCGCCGAGTATCATCAGTCTACTCACTCAAAATATACCAACATAAGGGAGAAATTTAGCAGTTAACGTTTTGTTATTTCATTGATTAAGAACTGTGGTAAATTTCATTTATGCATGAAGGATAAGCTCAAATTTAAAAGCCCGCATGTTAAAGACTGAAGTATACTCTAAGATTCGTATGAGAGTTCAAAACATTCGTTCCTAAGATTCAGTGAAACATTTTGGTCAAAGTCACAAAAGGCTGTGGGCACAGGAACGAAACACACCGCATTTGAGCTTCCCGGCTCCTCATTTATTCCAATTCGCCGTGCTCCGCGAAACTGGACAAAGCACAAATCGCCTCACATGCAAATAAATCGCTGCGCGCGAGAAAAACCAAAAACTCTTCGAAAAAGAGGCGTTAATCGGAATCAAGCTGCAGTTAGAAAAATAGTCACATTAGCCCGGCATTTCGATTTCCCCGAGTTCCAAAATCGTTGATTATGTCAGCACAAAAATTCAATAATGGCCGCTTCGAATTTTGGGCGACCGCCGTTGCCGATCGCTCCTCGCCAATTAATGTAATCTCTTTTTTCAGCGCCCGTTTAATTGCGAACAAACGTTTCGCTTGCGCGCGGCTGCGGCGCCCAGCGCGCTGAGGCCAGCAACAAGTGGAGGGGCCGAGAAAGCGCTGAAAGAGGCAGAGGCGAACGCCGACAGAACGCGCTGCGTCGGCGCCGCTCGCAGCAAACGGAGGATCTCGCACGGAGAGCAGGCACATCATGCGCCATATTTACGTTGTCGTATAATCAGTCCGCGGGGCCTGCTATTCCGTCTAACCATTTTGTTGAATCTTCATTTACACAGTTGAAACATTTAGGGAGGGAGGGGGTGGGTGGGCAGGTGGGATGGGGGAGGGAAGCTGTGCATTTGCAAAACCAGGGACCATTCAAAGCTTAGAGACACAAGTTAAGATATAATGTTGTTTGAAAATAAAGTTGCCCAAGTCACGTCCGAAAAAACCCTCTTTCAGTGAAAACCACATTTCGCCGTTCCAGAGATTACCCGGTCCAAACAGAGACAAAAATGGCGAAAAGCCGGTCCGGATGGCCCAGATCGTTAAGGCAGTAGTGCCGTAGCGATCTCAGACCGAAGAATCGCGGGTTCGACTCCCGTTTAGGGGCATGGTTGAATCTGTGTTCGTCCTTTCACCTCTCTATCATCACCATATCATGTCATCTTCACAGTGAAATGCAATAGTGGACGTAAAACTATAGAAAGCATAATTTCTGAGTCACTCGATGGTGACTTGTGTTGCGGGTTGAGTACGCCTCTGAAGTTCTTTACATAATAATCTGTGAACTTCTATCGATTTACTTTTTCGCTTCACTACGTACTTACTACGTAGTAAAGAGAGAGTGTTTGTAAGCTGTGGCAAACTGAACGATTTTTCGTAAAAATAACAACAACAAAAAAAAAGAAAACTACTCTTATTGTGGGGCCGATATCGAAGAAAAAGATACATCTCGTTCCTATTTACAGTAAATTATTTCATGTAACACGTGTGGTCAGAATCCATGGTTTCGTGGGTCCTTGATACCGAAAAATGTGTTCACAGCAAAAAAGTCTGTCCGTCTATAGTATGTGGTCAACACTAGCGCCTAAACCGTTCAGAAATCCATTTTGCTCCAAAATTGATATTCCCCACTCGAGGACCGACCTCGAGGCCCCGCGAGTTTGAAACGGGTGTTTCGATTTTGGGAAATACTTTCCATGAAGCCCTAACATTTTCACGTTTCCATTTTCGTCGCAGCATGTCGTCCGTACTAGGTAAGTAGCATTCAAAAAAACTAGAAACGTCAGCATTTATCTGCGCTCGCTGGACAAAATAAAGTCATCCAGTTCAGTAAAACAGAAACGGTATAAAGCTGGCTGCAACAAGCTGTAGAGGACACGCCAATCACACCACCGTTGAATTCAATGAACAGATGCGTGAAAGCCGCACCTCCATTTCTCCCTTGGCGCAGCGGGCGTGCGCTATCTCGAACGGGCTGGGAGTCGGGGCGCTGGCAGGCCACCGATCTGCGAGGGTACGCGGTTGACGTTTTAATTTCCGCGCAATTGTCGCCCGCGAGCGGTGGCGCGCCCCCACCTGCGCGGCCGCCTTTCGCACTGACGCCCCCGCGAGCTGTAACTGCAACCTCCGTGGAAATGTCCTCGACAGCTTTCACGCTTCGAATAAAATACCCAGGGCGGTTTATTACAGAAAATATGTTGAAATAAAAAAGAAAAAAAAGTACTGTTTCAAGTCCAATTACTCGGGAATATAATATCTGAACTCAAGATGGGACAACATAGCACACACTTTCTCGTATTATTTTAACAATTACATAAAAGTATGGCCAAATTATTAGCTCCTAATATTTCCCTTATTTATGTTAAGGAGCAAACTTGACATACGACCTCTCTGAACATTCTAATGTTAAACTGCGCACTATGTCCATACCTTAAAATATTCTAAGCGGTTTTATACAGTTTTGCATTCAGTTTTCTATACTTGGGCTCTCGCATCTACAAATAAACACAATCCTTAAAACTCACAACCTGTGCATAAAATGAAGATGTCGAATATGAGAATTCAATTATTATGATGGTTTACTTTTCGTAAATGCAATATTGCTTCTCTGATAAAAGTGTTTAGAATAATAAATAAAATAATGATAAATGTATTGATCTGATAAATGTATTTAGAAGTCTCGGATATTTCAAAACTTGAAAAGTATTATTGAAAAGAATTTCATTGAAATAATAATCAGAAATAAATTACATGTTTGTAGAGGAAAAAAAAACGTTCAAATTATATATTATATGTGTTCAAAAACACATTCACAATCAAAGCTATTGTAGTCTTCTATTTGCAGTTCCCTTTTAATCCACAGAACAGCTGTAAGTTATGGAACATTTATTTACGAGTTGCAATGAATTAGAATGCTTAATCTGAAGTTTTGTTAACAATTGTTTTTGCTCATGCCAGACACAAAATATCAAAAACAAATGAAAGTTGAAAACGGTTCTAACCCCATGTTCCGCAACGATGGCTATTCAGTTAATCTCTTTCCTATCAACAGTGTGTGCAGGCGACAGCCTCACAAAATTAAAATGTTGTCAATATTTAATTTAGAACATAAATGAAAAGTTCATAATAATAAGTGACATGAAACGAAACGTAAAGAGTGCATTGAAACTGGTTTGAACAATGTAAATAATAATGAATACCTGATAATAAAGTAAATAGGATTTTATCAGAAAATTATGTTTAAAATTATGATGATTAGATTTATTAATTTCAGTTTTACATTTTAATGTAAGAAAATCTGCGTTACTAATTTCTAATGTGCGCAGGAATTAAAAGAAAACTATGCCCCCTCCGGCCTTGTGAGAGTTGCCTGCGACTTTGTTAACCACCCCTGATGCCCTGTGAAAAAACACAAATGTTTGTTTCTGTAATTACGCTTGTTCTCATACTGCACATGCTTGATGAATTATCACACTCACTGTTTACGATACAGTTGTCATGCAAGAGCAAGGCTCTAAGAAAAAGGTCTTCTGCCATCAAATATTCGCTGCTCGCGTGTTGCGATATGTAACATTTATTTATATTCTTAGTCTGTAAAGAACTTGTATTGAATATAAAGTATTTATATTATTGTTGTACTATTTGTGAAAATATTTAATTTACTGCTTTGCTATACAAGAGTACTTTCTTGTTCTTGAGCAGTGTATGCGCTACTTTCTATGCTGGAGCAGATCAATAGTTATGAAATAAATTTTTTTTATGCATACTGCATACGACGCTAGACAAATTTGCGGATTGATTTTTCTGTATTTATAAGGTCTCATTGACGGGCTCCAGGCTGTTCTCCCCTTGCTGCAGCTTCGCTGGCGACTCGGCTCTTGGGATTTCCCGGCGCGGAATTGGAAAATAAAGCAGCGGGTGGCGGCGGCGGCGGCGGCGGCTGCGGCGGTGGTGGTGGTGGTGGTGGTGTGGTGGGTGGTGGTGGCGGGTGGCGCGGGGGCGTGCGGTGGCGGCGGCGGGCTGTGGTGGATCACCAACGCCTCCGGGCTCGGAAGCTGCCCGGGCGCGCGGCGCACACAAAGATGGCTGCGCGCAATGGGCGGGGCGGGGGCGGGGCGGGGGCGGGGCGGGGGCGGGGGCGGGGGGCGGCAGGAGGGGCTCGGGCCTGAGAGCCCGGAAGATAAATGTGACGCGAAATCCCACGCCGGCGGGGGCTGCCTCCGCGCCGCGCCGCGCGCCGCGCCCCGCGGCGGGCAGGCCGGGGGCGCAAACACACAAACACGGGATATTTGTTCGCGCAAATTGTGCGCGCCGAGGTCATTTGAGCCCGTCCCTCAGCTCGCACCCCGCCGCCCGCCGCCCGTCGCGCTCATCATCATCGTCGTCGTCATCGTCGTCATCGGTGTCGTCATCGCCATCAACGCGCCGGGGGCGGCCGCCGGGGCTTCGCGCGCCGCTGTTGACAATTGCGCAGCGCTGCCCGCTTATCGGCGGCGACCACGCAGCCGGCGCAGCGGGGGCGGAGGACGGGCGCGGGTCACTCCGCCCTCCCGCGCGCGGGGATTGCGCCGCTCTTTTCCCTCGCCAGCGCTTTTCTGCGGCGCCCCGCTGGGGCTTCGATGCGTCTCCGCCGCGGAACTGAATGGGCGTCAGAGGACGTGCGTGGTGGGCTGAAGTGAGGAGTATGGTACAAAAATAGGCGACAAATAAAAGAAATACCTTGGAAAACATTATTAAGAAACTGGTGACGCTGCAGCAGCACACATAGTACTTCCTCTCATTTTTTAATAATTTTTGCAATAGATAGA